AAGCATCATTGGATAGAGGGGTTCATTAGCTACGCGTAGGAAAAAACAAAACTTAATTTCGAGTTCGGACGAGCCCAAAACGAGCCCGAGAAGCAAAGCCGACCGAGACGTGCGCGAATGCGCGCGGAAAAATACCCTCTCGGATTTTGTCCGAAAATTTCATATTTTCTCTCAAATTTCCTATCTTCTTTCACCTTTTCTTCCATTTTTCTTTGGTAGTTAAATTGTGGTTGATTTTTAGGTGAATTGTGGTTGATGTTGGTGAAGTGTGTTTGATTATATTTCTATAAATAGCTAGAACATCCAACATTTTTATGTAATTTATCACCTTCCATGCAAGCTTGAACCAAAGGGGGTTCTTCCCCTCTTCCCTCTTCATCTTCTTCTTTTTATTTTCTTTTCTTATTGTATGTTGTATTTGGAAAAGCTTGTATATGGATTCAACATTTGAAGATTGTTATGTAAGTTTACTTTCTCTTTAAATTAATTCATGCATAATGGTTAATTTAGGAGAAATATTTTGTTGTGTTAAATTTATTTATATGTAGCTAATCTTTTAGCTAGGGGTAGGGGATAATCATTTCGGTTTGATCTGTTTATATGCATGATGATAACTCCATCTTGATGAGTTGTTTTAATCATGAATTGATAAATTAAACTTGGTAAATCTTTATAACCTAAGAGTGACACTTAGGTTAATTTTATGATATAATCAAAGAGTGACACTTTGATTTGTGCTTGATATTGATTTGTTAAGTTAAAGTTTGTTAATTTTGTGAATTACAACTTGTAGAACGGAGAGGGGAAGAGTTGTAAAAATAATCGATTTCATAACCGAGAGGGGAGAAATTGATAGAACTTGGCTCATTTAGAATAGACATGTTCGGAGACGTATTGTCTATGCGTTAATTGTTTCGTTAATTAGCTCATTTATGTTTTTCCATATATTACGAGAGTTAGTATGGTTGAACCGCTAAATGAGTTGGTTAGTTGAACTACTTAACCGAGTTATTGATTGCCGTTGAATGAGTGTAAAACTGGAAGCGATTTATTCTCGATTCCCTAGCTTCTTTATTATTGTCTCGTTTATATTTTTAGCTAGATTATTATTTTATGTTATTTCTTAGTTGATATTTTAGTTAATTATTATCCAATTCATCTTGATTAGAATGTTTAGGCTTTATTTTCATTTTATATGTTATCAACACCAATATTAAATTCCGAACAGTTTTCCTCGAGAGATCGACCCGGTAAACGAATCATTTGATTCGGTGCTCGGTAAAATAAAAATAATTTGTACACAACAAGGTGCGATGGCTCTCATGGATAGCTCCGCCGATGGGTACGGTCAAGATTAATACGGATGGGAGCTTTGTCCCGTCCACAGGTATGGCCAGTGCCGGTGGGGTTATAAGGGATTACTGTAGGAGTTGGATAACAGGGTTTATGATGAATATTGGCTTCTGCTCCATTGTGGGTGCCGAACTTTGGGGTTTATTGCAGGGCCTGCTCCTGGCTTGGGAAATTGGAGCCCGGAAGGTTATAGCGGAAGTGGACAACCAAAGTATTATCGCTATGGTTGGCCGTGAGGATTGCAGTGGCCCTCATTGTAGCCTTGTTCGAGGGATTCAGGATCTCATGGGTAGACCTTGGGAGATTGAGCTAATCCATAGACATTGGGAGACTAACTTCGTGGCGGATTTTCTAGCCTCGTTGGCGGCTAAGGGACCAGGTGGCTTGCACCGACTTGATCGCCCTCCGGAGGGGGCGGGGGTTTGGTTAACTCATGATCTCACGGGGGTGGCCTATCCTCGTCGGGTCGTGACAAAGCGATCGTAGTTTCGCTTCCTTTCCTGCACCAAAAAAAATATATCTCCACTAATTGAGTAAAATTTCTAGAATATTATCTCCAAATTTTTTTGTGTTGTTTAATGCCCCTTTGACATATTAAGTTTAGGGAGATGGTGCAGTCTCGTTACGGAACCATTCTGTTGGGGTTTGTAATCGTTAGATCGGCTATCCCGATGGTTACCTGATGTTCTAACGGTTACAAACATGACAGAGTGGTTCCGTAACGGGACCGTAACATTTCCCTTAAGTTTATATTACTTTTCATTATTTGAACGTTATAATACAATCCTCCCTATATATAATTCCTGAATGCGCTGAGCCTACGTGGCTGCTTCTGGTGCTTCGGAATCCTATTTGGCGAAAAATCATGCTTCGTAATTAGGTTTGGACAAATAATATTAATATATTAATAATTAATAATCTAGGTTTGGGTATTCCATAAATATTATTTAGCTAACTTAGGTATTTTAATATCACTTTTACTAATATAACCCTTTAATTCTTTTTAATTTTACATAGTGAGGTACTAAGTGACTAATATATCCCTAAATTTTGATTTGCTTCCTTCAATAAGCTATTGAAATATAAATGTATTTTAAAAGTAGATAACTTTTGTATTTCTTATCGGTTTTACGTATATAATATATCTAATTAATCATCTTTTGATGATCTTCGATTTGACATCCATATTGTATATATAAAATAAATAAATTATATTTACCTTTATATTAATAAAAAATAATAATATTTATTAAAATTCATTAGAAAAATAAAATTATTTCTCAGTTGATATATTTATATTTAATGTAGTTATATATTGTGAGTTAAAAAATTAGTATAATATAACACAAGTAAGTCGCACAAATAAAAAGTATCATAATAAATATATAATAATATATATATTCTTATAAAAAGTATTTAAATTTTCAAACTACTTTTTCTCATTAATTTTAAATTTTAAGAAGAAAATTAGCAAACACCTGTGTAATACACGAGTGTTGTACTAGTAATCTTATTAAAGTTGAACCTTCTCATAATCACTTAGGTAAATCTTAAAACTAATTTGTCTAAAATTTCTACAACGGTTTTATTTAATTATAATATGCAAATTTTAGTACAAGCCACCATTTTTCAAGATAATTTCCTTTTCTTGTAATTTTTGAACCTGTAATCTTACTAAATAATTTCAGTAAAATGTAATAACATAAACAACAACTAAAAAATCTATGCAACTGACCAAGAATGATATGGTGAATTGCTCCCACGTACTATTCATAATTTGCTTCCTCATATTTTAATAAAATCAAACAAAACCAGTTTCGATTGTTTGCTGTATTTTTCAATATTATCATTTGTACTGTCGAAGTCAACCACCATTAATTAGTGGATTTAATTTCTTAATAACTAAGTATATCTTGGATGAAATAGGGGAGGTTATTACAAACTTTATGGTGAAATAACGATATTGGAATAGATTATTCGTTCAAAGAAATAGATTTAAAAGTCTAGTAGCCAGTGTGCACACCCACCCATGTCTTCACCCTCGCGTATCTTAGCTTAGTGGGTCGACCCAAAGTACTAACTATTTCGTGTAAAATTTTATGCAAACGAGGATGCCCTCTGGATTTCGAGTACATTGAGGGTCGGCATACTAATAGGTGTCTACTGATTGTCTGGTAGGTTTTACGTGCGAGATAGCAAAAAAAAAAAGAAAAAAAAAATATTAGACTTTAACATAATAGGAGCAGTTATCTGTTACAGTTTTTGGAAAAGAATAAGACACGTGAAGGTGGTTTTCGGCGAAAACATTTAATGAGGAGAGATAAGATGGGACATTTTTTGGGGCAGTCTTTTTAGGAATGAAAGAACATGTATTGGCGCGAGAAATTGTCGATTCGTCACTCCTTACGTGAACTGACATGACTAATCTTGATCGTTGGGTTTCGTATCTTAAAGTCGAATGGTTTCAATGATTGGTAAACTAGAACCATTCCTATAAATAGGAGTCTACAAGGACGAAAAATGTTTCACCTCTTTTCGAATTCAAATTCCGTTCGAAAACCAAAGCCAGAGTTCTTGGTGCTATCCAATATACTTCAAAATTCTTCAAACGAGTATCTTTTAACTTCTTTTCTTTTTCCTTTTGTTGAAACCAAAACATCATGTTGGAGAGAAGTGACTACGACATGTACTTGTGGAATGTCGTATCATAGGGTGATCCGACTGGTTGAATGAGAGAGTCGAGTGCCACTATGAGTGACTAAAGAAAGATGCAGGCGTGGATCGAGGAAGAAGCGGCGAGGCAAACTCCGGATGGGTATTGGAGGCGACTACCGAAACAAGAACCTCAATATCATGAAGAGATAAACATTTGGCAACATGCAAGCACATTGAAAGATGTTGATATAGTAAAGATGACGAAGACGTATGAATTTCTCACATCTGTAAAAAATATATGTACCATATGAGAATGAGCAAGTTTTGAAAAGTCCATTATGAAAGTCTTCAAAAGTTTTTTTTCCTCAAACGACAGACTTTCATAAATAGAACACATAATAACTATCAGCTAACAACATGTAACAACTTGAAAGAGCTGCTACACAGATGAAATCCTTGGGAGGACAACCCGAATGGCAGCCTAGTCGAACACGCACAACACACTCACAAGCTCCCAACAGGATAATTTAGCTCCCAAAAGAAGAATAAACACTATGCACAACAAACAGAACACAAAAAAAACTAAAAACACAATGAAAAATACTAGAATAATCTCTCCCCACCAGCTAACCGACAGCCCCAGACCCTATGGCAACGACATCGAACACGAATCAAGAAACTTCTGACCAAGCCGGCTAACCAGAACCACTCGAATACCACAGACCCTTCCAAAAACAATCACCGTCGGAAAAATAGGGAACCTCACCACAAGCCACATCACACACACACACACACCGATGACCACCGCCCATCTATAACCAAGACCAGGGCAGCCTCTGTCGATGAAACCCACCGATCCCAACACCAGAAATCGGTCGGACCCAGGTGTGATCTTGTTGCGAGACTCCAGCCCCAAGCAGTTGCCTAAGTGGCGCTCGGAACCGACGGCCTAGGAGGAACCCGCTACTAGCCGGACACCCTTCCCCTCAGCCATGGCCACCGGTAACACGGGGAGACGCCACACACAAAGAGAGCCCGTCAGGATGCCAGCCGACCCGAATCAGGTTGAAGTTGCCGGGAAAACGCCGGCGAGACAGCATTGTGGACAGAAATCGACGCCGACCAAGTGAAATAATAAGGGGATCTGGGAGGAGTTTTTTCCTAGAGAGAGAAAACGAATCTAAATCTTGTACTAAGTTCACTTGTCAATGTTAAAAAGTCACTAATGTTAATTCTCTAAAAGTCTCAAAAAGTTCACCAAAGTTATTAATGTTTTATAAAGTCTACTAAAGTCACTAAATTTAAAAAGTCCTTAAAAATCTCAATTGAATACACCCCCTAAATTTGGATGTGAGATTTTCTATTGAAATCTCAGCAAATTACAAAGTCAACAATTTTGAGTTTCAAATAAGTTAAATATCTCTGGATTTTGTAAGACTTTTTAAAATCTCAAATGGATACCTCAAGATTTTTAAAACTTTTATAAATTTTAAATTTAAATACACAATGATTCTGAAATCACAAAATTTGTAGGCCGCGTTTGGATATTAGACACAATCGGGTTTAATCGATTTCGTCCTATTAGATTATTTTATTTTATATATCATTACACTCAAAAGTCAACTCAACTTAGTTCTCCTTAATTTTATCCATATAAATAATACCAACAAATCATCCACGCATATCGCATCAACTTAATTCACTATTATCTACTTATATAATTTTAACTATTTATCGCTTTCATTAAACTCTCTTCTACTTTTACACCGCATCAACTATACTCATTACATTTGAAACATTATTTAATTACAAACTCAAAATCATCCACTCGATTAACTTTTCTTGAAATAAATCACTTTAACCAACCAAATCCGGTTGGATTTACATCCAATCACGCCCTAAGAGAGTGATTGGATATAAATCATATCCAAGCACTTTTGATCAGTCACATTGTTAACTCAAAATCAAACTCAAATTTAACTCAATCTAACTCTCTTCTGTATTATCAATATAATTAAATAAAATCAATCAATCATTCTAACACCTCACATGAATTGTAATTCACTATTCATCCGCTCACATATTTTTAATACCAATCACTTCCAACCACAACTATCATAGTTATTCATCAAATTAACTTTCATCATTTTATTTTAAGGAATCTCTTGAAATCTTAAGTCCGGAGGTCGGATTTTGAGTGATATTTCGTGTAAAGTTTTTTCTTCGAAATCTCAACAAATCTTAAAAAGCATTAGCAAATCCTAGTCACAAATAAATTAAATATCTCATGATTTTGTAAGACTTTTAAAATCCCAAATAAATACCTCAAAGCTTTTAAAAGTCTTAAAAAATCTAATTAAATACACCAAAATTTCTAAAATCTTAAAAAACTCTTTAGAAATTTCAATTGAATACACCCTTTTAACTCAATCAAATTTTTCAAAATCTAACTTTGATCAACCAAAAAATACAATCAAAATCAATCACAACTCAAATAGATTTATCTAGCAACTCCTAAATAGACAAAGGGAAGATTTTCCAAAAGGGCAAGAGAGAGTGAAGAATGCATTGGGTATCGGCCATTGGGAGGCCCAAATTTCGTGTGGCCCGTGGGCTTTCTCTTTAAAGCAGTGTGCTGTGCCCCCATCTCTTTCTTTCTCTTCTGAGAGTTCTCGCACAGTTGCAGGAAAGGAAAGAGAGACGATGGAGAAGGTTCGATGCCAGAGAATCGGATGTGACGCCATGTTCTCCGAAGACGATAACCCAGATGGCTCCTGTACTTATCATGATGCTGTACGTACAACTATCTCTGCTCAGTGTAATTCTTTTATTCTAATGAATTCTCCTTTTTTCGCTCATAACGAACAATTGGAGTTATGGAGATCGGATTGTACTTGAAATAGTGCTATTGTGTACTTATTTTGTAGAGAAACGTTGAAAGCTCTGATTATTTGAATCAATTAGCTGTTACTGGTTATGGTGTTGCTAATATACTGATAATTTATTTTTATTTTTTATTTTTTTTGGCTTCAGTAGATTAGTATGTTCTCACAACAATCAAGGCCCGGTTAAAAATCGATGATTGCGGAAACAAATTGGTATACGACGATTGGAGATTGTATTCTGATTAACTAGATGATGTTGTTCTATACATGCTTTAAGTTGGGTTTGCTAGGTTGAAATGGAGTTGGTAATTAGTGGCCAATATGTGATTCATGTGAATAACTTTTTGATTGTGTAGCTAATTAGATTTAATACATCAGCATAGGCATGATTGTAAGGCACCAAATTGATGTACATTCAGCTCTCATTTATAATACACCTGTTTGCTTTTTATTGTGTGTTGGGTGGATAATAGTTTGAAAGCCTGTAGCATTAGTATATTTTAGCTTTCCCAAAATGATATTACAGTATCTGTTAGCAGTTTATTGTTCTGCTTGAAGCATGGATATTATCCAACTAATAACATGACAACAAATTTTTCGTGATGTTTTCTCGCCATAATTGTTCACTAACGTATTTTATATTCTGACTCGTGATGCGTTTACTGGCTGCTGGCTGGCATCAACTTTCATCAGGGTGTAAGTTGAAAATCCTTTTAAACTCCTTTTCACCTCAGTTGTTATGCGTATATTGCCCATAATAAACTAACGGCAACGTTTTCCTTTGCACAGCCAATATTTCATGATGGGATGAAGGAATGGAGTTGCTGCAAGCAAAGGAGTCATGATTTCAGTTTATTTTTGGAAATTCCTGGGTATGTATTTTCCTTTCTTTTTTGGTCTAAAACTTATGTTTTCTTCTCAGTAGTGTTGCTAGAACTTTGGGTTGTTAGTATTGCTGCTATCAATTTCTGAAAGGGCTATTTCTTGATATCGTTAACTGAGTTGTCATTTGTCCTTATATTGAATGGTCACGGTTATTACATGTCCGATTTCCCTTGAAAGTTGATGTTCAAATCTTATGTTTCTCACATGAAATAATATGTCAGCGTGGTCTGGTTTGTGATTATATTTCCTTTTCCAATAAAAGAAGCTGACTGCTATTGATACATAAAGTTGCAAGACAGGAAAGCATACAACTGAAAAACCAGTGCTTGCCAAAAAGGCACCTCCCGTTCAGAGGCAACTGGTTGCTACTCAAACTCCCACATCCAATGCGTCTACAAAAGATGCTTGTCCTAGGTGCCGCCAAGGATTTTTCTGCTCTGATCATGGTATCTTTATTTTAACTTATTTTTCTTGTAAGGGTATAACTTTCTTGGAGGAATTATATGATTTTGATGGCATTGAATATAGTAGGCTAGTTTCAGTCAACCAAAATCCAAAAGACTTTAAAATGCTTTTTTAGTTTTATATCTAATTCTTTGGCTCCTTATTCTAAAGATATTATTGGTGCCAGAATCATAGATATTTCGATTCAAATTGCCTGCCCAAAATTCCATGTTGTTTTAGTCAGAGATTTTTTTTAATACGAACTGCAAAATTCTTTTGAAAGATCCATAATATATTTATTTTATTCACCCGCAACTTTAGTGGTTTTTTGAATCGAATCACGAACCCATAGTATTCCATTTTTTACATGTTCTCTGTTTTACTCACATATTTTCACGGTAGTCCTGAGTGTACTATATTCATATATCAGGGGGACTCACAACCTCTTCTGCTTCCAGAATATTTGTTGACCCCATTTTAAAGCCCAAATATATAACTACACAAATGCATATCTAACTGGACCCTTATCTCATCTTTTGCCTTTTTGCTCGTCATCAGGTTCGAATGTTAGAGAATTGAAGCCAAAACCTGCCGTGAGTGAATGTAGTGAAGCCAATCCAGAACCAGAGCCCCCTAGACAGAAGAAGATTGTCGATATTAACCAACCTCAAATATGTAAAAATAAGGGGTGTGGTAAAAGTTTTAAGGAGAAAGATAATCATGATGAAGCATGCAATTACCATCCCGGCCCCCCGGTTTTTCATGACAGGATGAGAGGGGTAAGATAATAAATAAAATATAAATTATATATATATATGTATATATAACTTAGTTTTACAAACCCTCCTAATCTTCTCCTTGATTTTATTTCTTTTGAGTGATGTGTTATTTTTCGCGCATGGTTTTTTACATTGCAGTGGAAATGTTGTGACATTCATGTTAAAGAATTTGACGAGTTCATGAGCATACCACCATGCACGAAGGGATGGCACAATCCCGACCCAGTTTCATGATCAATGATTTACTTAATCTGCTGAAAGGTTTTTTTTTTTTTTTTTTTATTGGACTCGACTTATTTGTGACTAGACACTTATTGATGCTGCAAGTTGCTGTGAACTAAGACCTTTTCTATATTTCACTGAGAACTAAAACCTCGTGTTTTACTAGTGACCTCATATCAGTCATGCTCTCGGCATTGTTTCATGTTTTTTCTCATCAGTTTTTCAATCAATACCTCAATTTTTATCACTAATATTATAGTCATGATCTTGACCCTCTGTTCGGGGTATTTGATGATATTATAGTCCTTTTGTCTCGGTTAGAGTGTGGTCGATGTGAATATTTATCTAGGGATCAAAACGGAGTAGCTCACAACATAGCACGATAGGCGGTCTCTACACATTCCTCTTGTGTTTGGAGTGATTTTCTCCCTATTTGGTTTCCCTTTTTTTTTNNTTTTTTTTTTTTTGGCTGTAACGGACTAATGTCCTCTTTTGGTTGTTTTAAGTACAAAAAAAATAAAACTAAAAATTACCACTAATACGATTCTTAAATAATACATTTATAATATATTTCTGTAAAAATTATTTACTCGCTCACCTATATATATTTTTAATTACTTTTCTTTATTTCTTGTTTTGGCATTACATCAACTAGAATTATTTAATTTCTATCTTATATTTAATCACATTTTCTCATATTATTCTTTATCTACCTTTTTTTAAAAAAAAAAAAATAAAAATAAAAACTGTACCAAACAGAAAGGTATTCAAGAAAGCATATCCAATCGCCCTCAAAAATTATGATAATCTTATTTGAACGATTCAAGGAAGCTTGGTTAAACAATTAAATGGAACATGAGAAGACTTCAGTTTTTATTAACCGATACGAAGAACGTGAACACTATATCTAATGAAATCTCCCTCGAATGCTGAACAAGTGATGATAACCCTATGATTAGACATGGCCATGGTTTAACCTGGCTCGCCGATTCGGCTCGGAACCGGGCCCATTGACCATGGGCCTAAAACCGAGCCCACGGTTTGACAGGGCCTGTTCCGGCTATTCATTTATAAAAAGAATAGATGTAAGTTGGGTATGAAAATAAGAAATTTATTAAGAATTGTGTATGGCTTGAATGATTAAAAATAGTTTGAAGTAACAGCAAACATGATGTATTTGTGTGTGTGTGAGTGTGTGAAACATGCAGATAAAATGTAATGTGATGGCTAGTGTTGTGATAGTTTTATCACGAGTTGTGTGATGGGTGTCTTTAATTTGCTATCCACAAAAAAAGCCCAGTGGACCTTCACTTTGTCTTAAGACCCTCTCCTGTCTTTTCATTTTATTCACCTTCACTCATTATTCACCATTTTGATCCACTAGTCTAGAATATATGGGGAAAAAAAACAAACATGAAAAACGTAATTTTAAATAGGACCAAAATAGACATTTTTCCTCTATGTTATCGCCTCTAAATTCGTGCACTTTCGCGGCAAGAACAGTGTGTCGTCACTTTTTTTTTACGGTTTGATCAGCATACCTCGTATGTGCGTGTAATCCCGACTATTGGGACTCCTTCAGCATGAGGCACGAAGGGTTTTCTGTTTTGTTCTTTTTTATGTATAATTGATAAACTGATTCGTAATACAACTGAAAAATAATTTCTGAATTAACCACCATGTGGTTCAACTTCATCGCTAAAAGAAATTAAATTATTAGATGTTCGAACCCAGCCGGGTTCTTAAAGTCGATAATTAGTTAGCATCTCCAAAGACTCGCAAAAAGAATAGATATCTTTTTGCCCTTTTATATATTTATTTTTCATTTTTAGTGTTTCCCAAAAAGAAATAAGCTTGTCACCCTAATAAATATTGTCAACAAACTAGACATGTATACATAATGCACATCATTCTATTGCAAACTTGTGTAATTTGCAGGTTTAAGATGTAGATTTATGAGAAAGGAAAAGACAAGAAAGAAATTATAATAAAATACATATGAAAAATCACATTTGAACACATCCATCTTTGAATTTGAACACTATACAATGTATATATCAAATATGAGAGAATCTGAGTCGTCAATGATTGCATATATCCCAACAAAGAGGAGCCACACCACCAAAATATATACAATTATTAAAAATGAGAGACATATCATTGCCATTTTAAGAAAAGCAAATTAATTACAGGCCAACCTGGTTTCTTTCCTTTTTATTATTTTTTTTTCATGGTCCAAAAAGTGACACCCGATACGGTTTATAAGGT